ATCTCTTTGGGTCAATATCCATGAGACTGGAACAAAGCTTTACTGTTGAATAATGTGCCACTTGGGGATTCAACAGATCAGAATGAAGTTAACTATGGGTATGTTTCATTTAAACTGTATAATGTTAGGAATTTTAAAACTTTAAAAAATTTATGGATGGATTTTAGAGAGAAAGGGAGGAAGGAAGACAGAGAGAAAGAATCAGTTTGTTGTTTCATCTATTTATGCATTTGTTGGTTGATTCTTGGATGTGTCCTGACATAAGAACACACCCGTATTACGATGCTCCAACCAATGGAGCTACAGAGCCAGGGCTGAAGTTAGGAACTTTTTAAAGTAATAAAATGGGAAGATTGTATCTGTCTTGTATCATTAATATGACAGATACATTGAATGACACTCTCAGTGGGTTGTTTGAGCTTGTTAAGTTCTAAAAGGTAGAATTTCTGTTCCACTTAATAATGGAAAGATTATCTTTGCTGTATCTAATTAAACAAGAAGTGAAGCCGCAGCACATACCATAAAGTATTTGGCCCAGTTCTCGTAGTGTCGATGGCTGCTTTCCTGCTACAAAAATAGAGTTGAGTAGAAAAGACAGGAGCTATGGTCTCATAGGTAGAAAATTGTCATTTTGGGGGGTTTATGCAAATGAGAATGGAAAGTATTGTTCCATTCTCCACATCACTTAAGAGCTTCTAGGCAAGGTTTGAAAAAGTGCATTACAATTTACACAATGCTTACCTGCTCTCTCCAGGTTCTCAAAGAGGTTTAAAACATTTTTAATGTGAAAGGAAAGACGTTGTTTATGTGCATTTCCTGTTCAGTTTGCTTTGGGTACGCATCATGTAAGTATAAAGAAGAGATTCAAGTCCTTTTTGAGCTCACTGCATGCCGAGTAGCTTGTCAATAAACCACATTCGGAATTGGAGTTTGCATTAGCCTGCGTACAAGGGATTAGCTCCATTCTCTGAGACAGCAGTGGTGCTTCCCATCATGCTTTGAAAATATGTCTCGCTGCTGAGCTGAACCAAACATTCAGCAGCCAGAGTTTGGCTCTGGGTTATCCAGGGTATGATTTTTGCCAAGTAACAGTGTTTGCACTGACTGCTTTGTGCTCTGTGTAGGGGTCTCTGGTCGGAGTCCAGATTTTCCTTAATCAGATAAACCAGAGCAAACTGGTGTCTGGTTTCATCTCTCTGGAGGCCAGGAAAACATGTAGTTTCTCATTTGTTCGATACTCCCCTTTGAAAATAAGGACTTGCCCTGCCCCTAGTGATGGAGAGTGATTCTCACCCCTGCTGCCGAGATGCTTAAAGACAAAATGCCATAATAGAGAAGTATTTAAAATTTCTGTCACATTATATGCAAGCTTATTAGCATGCGATACTCCCCAAGAAATTTGCAAGCCTGAGTGGACATTATTTTATTTATATGCATTTGATCTTACATTTCTTTAAACCACATGTCCACACAACAATGTTTGGGAAAAAACGATCCTTTCACTTGACCTCTGTGCCTGTGCTGAGCGGAAATGAATGGCGTTCCCTTTTGTTTCAGTTATAGCAGGAGTAAAAAACCTGTGGCCCCTGTGGGATCTGGCCTACCACCTGTTTTTACAAACAAGACCTATGGGAACATTCGCCATGCCCTTCATTGTCAGGGGTGTCCAAACTTTTGGCGTCTCTGGGCCACACTGGAAGAAGAGTTGTCTTGGGCCACACATTAAATACATTGCGACACGTAATCACAAACAAATCTCATAATGTTTTAAATTAAAATTTAAATGTAAAGTGAAATTTTACATTTAAATTTCTAAATTTAAATTTGAGTAAATTTACGATTTTGTGTTAGGCCGCATTCATAGCCTTTCTGGGCCACATGCAGCCTGTGGGCCGCAGGTTGGATGCCCCTGGTTTACAGAGTGTTGATGGCTGTGTTCCTGCTACAAAAACAGAGTAGAAAAGACAGAGATCGTAAAGCCTAAAATGCTGGGTATATTCACTCCCTGGCCCCTTACAGAAAAAGTGTGTCGACTCCTGGATTACAGCACAGTGTTAGGGCCATGGGTCTTCTGCTCTGACTCTATTACTAGCTTTTGGGGTTGTAGGCAAGTTATTTTCCTCCTACAAGCTTTAGTTTCCCCATTTATGAAATGGAGCATACTGAGGATTAAGTTTTAAATTAGATAATAACAGTTAAAGCCAGTACTGCCCTTGTCCCATTATGCTGTACACAGTCCCCTGTTAAGTACAGCACTTGGTGCCCGGCACATGGGAAGCACTCAGGGAACAACCTATACGCATCAGAGAGCTAATCATCTTGGCTGTCTGTGTTACTCCTTGTCGTCTGTGCCTTTGCAGCCATTGATCTGGAGCTGTCGAAATCTCAGTGTTTTCCTTCCCCACTGCTCTGCCAGATGGCAGCTCTGCTTCCCTCACAGAGACAGAAAACAGCAATTGAGATTTCGTGAGAGGAGCGGTTGGGAAGGAAGCAGGTGAAGCTGTGTGGTAAGGTACGAGGCACGCAGGAGTCAGCCGTCAGGTCAAAAGTCCAGCAACAGGACAGCACGTGGAACACGGCTCTGGAATCTGCACTTCCCGGCTTCCATCGCTGCTCTACTCTGTATGAGCCGTGTGACTGAATTCAGCAAAGCAGGTCCCCTTTCTCTTTTCTCTCTGAAGGCAGCTGCCCTTGCACACCCCTCTCCCCTGCACTTCAGCGCTTTGTTCACAGGCGACCTTTTCTCCAAGGCCTTCTCTGACCATCACCCATGTTAAATCACAGCTTCCTCCCCACCATGGACTCCCTCTGTCTCTTTCCTGCTGATTTCTTTTTTCCATCCAACATATCATACTACTTTATGTGACGTACTCCGTGTTTTATTTATCAGCTGTTTCTCCCCACCCCCTGGGAGTTTCATGAGAATTGGAATTACTCTCTGTTTTATTCGCTGATCTGTTCTTGGTGCCTGGAACACTGTTAGGTGCGTAATCAGTGTTTTTTAAATACCTGGTGAGTGGAAGAATGGCGCCCAGAAGACCTTCATGTGGCCAGAGAAGCACCCTGCTCAGTCGGGGCTTGGGATCTCGCTGGGCTAGTGGAGTACGTGGCAAGCAGCCTTGTGAACTTAGGCTTCCATGATGCTGGAATGACATCAGCATGGTCAGTTGAGGAAAATGGGAGATTTTTAGAATATCTTAATACTTTTAAGACCAAACATGAAGAGTTATGGAAGTGGAAAGAGGGTTTGTTTGTTTTGCACTGGCGACTGTGTTTGGATTTGCAAGGCTCTACAACATACTGTGGCAATCAAATTCAGTGGTGGGGTAGGTCAGGACCATGGGCTTCCTTGGCTCAAACTATTGTCCCCCATGCTGAATGGGGTGGTGATTCCCTTTGGCCAAACAATGAACCCTAGAACTGCAGGGAGCTGGACCATTTAACTGCTGGAACTTGAACTATAGAGTGGGAACTCTAACTTGAATTGATACCCAGGGTCTCCAGGTCAGAAACTTCAAATTCTTGCCCTGGCTGGTGTGGCTCGATGGACTGAGCGCTGGCCTGTGAACTGAAGGGTTGCCAGTTCAATTCCCAGTCAGGTCACATGCCTGGGTTGTGGGCCGGGTCCCCAGTAGGGGGTGTGTAAGAAACATCAATGACACATTGATGTTTCTCCCCTTTCTTTCTTCTTCCCTTCCTCTCTCTCTATAAATAAATATATATATTAATTTATTTATTTAAGAAAGGAACTTCAAATTCTTCTCTCTTGTTCTTCTACTCTTGTTACCAAAGTATAGATATTTAGAAAGGTAAACAGAAGCAAAGTGGAGAGGTGTTTCTTGTAAAGGAGGTGTGTTAGAAATGAGAATATTCAGGCACTTTCTTTAACAAAACTAACCTCCTTAACTAGACTGGAGTTTTTGAGGGCAGCGCCTCTGTTTTGTTCATAATTGTATTTTTAGTGCTTGGCATATTGCCGATCACATGATACAGAGCAGATGAATAAATAATGAAGAAGTAGTAGGCTATATCAATTTTGGACCTTGTGTAGCATTAATAGTCTGACTAATGTAGGATTTATTTACACAAGCTTGTTTTATTTTTAAAATATTCTATAGTAATTTGTAGGTGTCATCTTTGGAATGAAGTGGATTTTAACTAAAATGTACACAGCAATAATGGACACAGCTAAAAGTGTGAGTTTTTCTGAGTCCAGTCATCAGGCAAGAAGCATTCCTGTGGGTGCGTAGATGACGTTAGGAACCACGTCCTGTCCACCAAGCCAAAGGCTTTGAGAGACTTTATTTCAGCATGTCAAAATTCCACTCTGATGACGTGAGGGAGTCTTCAGGTCTGTTAGGAAAGCTGAGCCAGCGTCAGCAAGAGAATCATATCACTACAGCTTGTCTGTGATAAGCTCCAAGATACGAGGCTCAGGAGTTGGCCCTTTGGGTCGGTTTTTCTTCAGCTTCAGGACTTTATTGGCCAGAGTGGCACACACGAAGTGGCACATTCCTGGGGACAGAGACCATTGGCCCTTGGTGACCCGATAGGGAGTTCTTGGGCACTGTCTCCCACAAAGCTGTGACTTGCTATCAAGTCACACGGAGTCTGACTATCACACGGAATCTGCATTTGGCCCCACAGTGCCAGTAGTGTGACTCAAGGCCAGTAATGTGAAAGGTCAAGGGTCGGAGAGCCCATTCAGAACCCAAGAACATGCATGAGGGACTTTTCATGATGCCTGAGCTGCTGAGACCCGAGGCAGTTTGAGTCTACAAGGTGAACTTGTTCTCCACGCTGATGCCGAAGGGTAGCCAATGTGCCGGTTTAGCTGTGAAAGAGCTAACGCGTGGATGCCGTGTGGGAAGGGGAAGTTTGTATCTGCCATTTCTCTGTCACAGGACCAGCTTCATTTGAGAGTCAGCTGTGTGAGACAGTGCTCAGGGCGCCTGTGTGGCACCCCCAGGGTAACGCTGCTGCCACACCCTGTCTTCCAGCATGGGCTACTGCATCCTCGTTGTGCATGGACTGAACAAGCTCTGCTCTTGGCTGAACCGGTGCGGGGCCACCACGCTGACGGTGTCCACTGTGCTGCTGCTGCTGCTGTTTTCTTGGAAAACTGTGAAGCAGAATGAAGTTTGGCTGTCAAGAGAGTCCCTATTCAGGTAGGTTTAGATGGATCGAAGTGAACTCTTCCTGTTTATATCTTTGTTTATGTCTTTGTTTCCAAACAAAGGAGCTTATGTGGGTCTGCCAATATTTATTAAACCAGAAAAAAGTTTAGTAAAGTTTTAAGTGGAAGATACCATTTTATTTTGTCTTAACTTTGATGGTTTTAAAAATGATAATATATAAAGTTTTATAGGAGCTTGTGCCAAGTGAATTTATGAAAATAAGGTTCAGGGGAAGGTTTTGGGGTCTTTGTGAATCGGCAGGGGTATCAAATCAAGTCTAAACGCAAGGAAAAGTGCTGGCCTAAGTTCACTGTTCGGACGGGTGACTGGGGAAGGTGAGCACACAACAAGAAGGATGGAGATGCAATACATTGTCTTTAGGTATTCTGGAGTACTAAGTCGTGATCTGTGATCTAGTTGCTTTATTTTAAATGTTTATGGTGAACAAGGAAATGAAAGACCTTTTCAGCTTCTGGTAGATTTTCATGTGGTGTGGAAGCTGTTTCTGAGTATGACAATGTCCAATTATCACCCTAAACTTGTCATAAAGTATGAACACTGTTTGAGACTGTGGCTCATCACACTGTGTTCCTGGGGCTTAGTCTGCCTCCCTAAAGCCATAGCATTGGTGACCTTCACCTTCTTCCCCTTCACTACCGCACTTGGCATCCAACACTGTTTTCCCTAGGCCTCGCCAGCTTCTGTCCCGACTTAGGGTACACTTGGCCAGTTCAGCCAGCACGGTGTTTACTAGGTTCCCTGCTCAGCCGGTGCCCACCATTTACTCTTCTGAGGCAAACAACTGAAACAGAATTGGGATTGCTTAGGGGACAAAAGAGCAGATACTGGAAGAGTATCCGAAAGTGCCCTGGGTTGAAGGGCAGGTAGAGAACCGGGGATGTCGCAGACAGGACACAGGCATCTGGATTGCACTCTCATGGGAACACACGGGCAAACTTGCACCAGTTGTTTTTTCTATTTTCACATCCCAGTCCTGTGGAAAATAAAGTCCTTTTTCCCCAGTCCAGTGTCAGGGCTTGGGCTTAGCGTCAAGTGCCTGCCCCTCCCCCCCACAAGAGCACTGAGATGAGTGATCTGGCCGACAAGCTGCTCTGACTTCCATGGGCCAAGCTAGAGCAGGCAGAACACCCTCGGGCTCCTCTGAAACTCCACAAAGGAGTGGAGAGAATTCCCCACAGGAGTCCAAGTACCGGGGGAGGGGCACAGACACCCGCTGCCAAAAGTGAGTGCATGGGCGAATAAATAAATGAGTGAATGAACAAACAAATAAGACAAATTTTCACTGCCCTCTTCTGCTATTTAAAAATCATATATCTGATTCTACTACTGGGCAATGTAACTTTTTAATAGAAAAAATTAGTCTGGCATGCATATCTTAAGAGTTTATGTGTTATTACTACATCATTGTCATCCTCATCGTTTCAGTGGGTACTGTCGGGACCTGTTGCTGCCATGTAAGAAGTTTTGTGTGGGTTTGATTTTGTTTTAGATTTATTTTTCACTTTTAGGCTTCAGATCCTTTTTGTTCTCTGCCCTACCCCTCCGCCTCCGGTGCTGTTCTCACACCGCACAGTAGACTAGTTCCTCCTGCTCTCCAGGCCTGAGGTCATTCTGTAAACACAGGGCATTGACGTTCAGGAATACAACTTCCTCCTAGTCTTTGTGGGCTTCTTTTCTTTTTTTTTTACTTCCAGTAGTGATTGCTTTAATGAGAAACTTTAAATGGTTCTGCCTTGTGTTAAATCCTTGCCGTGAATAAAGGTGCTAACAGCAGTTGTATCCTCTAATGATTTTTACTGCTTAATCAGAGCAATTTTGGGAATGGGTTTTGGCAGGCAGCAGTTTCTTTCAAAGATAACAACTTAGTGCTCAAACCCTCTAAGGTTGATGCCGGCCACTGAAAAAGGAGGTTCATTGACCTTACATCCACAAGCTTCCCTTCTTTGACACGGAAGTATGTAGTAAGTGAACAGTTGATTACTAAAACAGCCATTCCACGCGTGTGCTTAGAGAGACTTTGTGCCCTGAGAGTTCTTCAGTTATCAAATGGAATTTTGTATTATATATAAGTCAAAGGTATAGATAGTTTTTAAAAACTTTACTGGTTATAATTTACCTATGTCCTAAGGAAACTTTTAAGAATATGACTTTGAGGATATTCTTTTTTTTTTTCATCAAAACCAGATGCTGGTATGTATTCATCTGTGCTGAATAATATTCAAATAAATTAGACAGACATTTACCATTAACAATCTATGAGGCAAGGTAGGCTTAGTGGCTGAGTGCGAAGCTTGGGTTTCGGCTTCCTGGCTCCACTCCAAGTCCCCCCATTTCATAACTGTGTGATCTTGGGCACGTTGCTTAACCACACCTGCCACTCCCTGATCTTCAAAATACCTGGGAAGACAGAGACAACATATTTTCTTTTGCACCCTCCTCAGGCTGTCTCTGAGCCCCACTCATTAACTGTTTAAGAGCCACAGAATGTATGTATGGCCTAGGTCGTCCTCCCCTTCGGTAGGAAACACATTACTTTTTCCTTCCCTCAGAATTGCTGAGCCAGAGAGGTCAGCAGACTTTCCAGGGCAAGGCACTACAAAGCAGGGATTGGCAGAGTCTTCTGTGAAGGTTCAGATAGTAAATATGTTAGGCTTTGTGGCCCACGCATTGTCTTTTGCAGCTACCCCACTCTGCCATTGCCTCAGGAAAGAGACCGAAAAGATAACAAGTAAACACATGGATGCACCTGTGGACCACAAGGCCGTAGTTGACTCACCAATGATGTCAACACTGTGAAATTGACATTCTAAAGTTACTAGTATCTTGTGGTACCATTTTGGGCATCAAATATCAGTCAGCTCCAGAAACTATTCTGACCACATACTGGCCTTGGTTGAAATCTCTGCTCAACTACTTACTAGGTTTATAACCTTAGGAAAAGGTCGTAATCTCTCTGAGCTTTAACTTCCTCACCTATAATATGAGAGGTACATTAATACTCCTTATCCAATAGGTTATTGAAGGGATGAAGTGAGATAGTCTATGGATATGGGTGCTTAGCCCAGTGCTTGATTCAAAGTGAACATTCCTTCAGTGCTAGCCATCCCAAGTGTGGCATTGCAGGGCCTCAGGTTAAAGAAGGGTCAAAATTGAGAAGAGCCGCAAATTCTTCTTACTTTCTTGTTAACCTTTGGCTGAATACCGTCCATTTTTTAATGTTTGTTATCTAATCAGGAATTTGTTATTTCTTGTGACTTTTCAAATCTTTTGCAAATGAGGGATGTGAAGGAGAAATGCAAAGTGCATAAATGGAGATCCTGAGTTGAAAGGGAAATTTTTTAATAATCATTGTTGTTATTATTAATAGGGTTTGGGATCTAGCCATGTAATTTATGAATGCTGCATATCCTTGTAAAGATGTGCAAAGCCGTGTGTTTCCATTAAAACAGTCATGAGTACTGAATGATAGCACCAAGAAGGCAGATGGAGGAGTCTGGCCCCGGGGAAGAGGCACCTGGCCAGTTACAGCAGCATGGAAAGTTTTGCCTTCGGCCAGTTGTTTGTTTGACTTTTTTAAAAATAAAATGTTCATTGTAAAATGAGAGGGTGGAAAAATACAGCAGAAAAAAATTACAGAGAGAACATAAAGGTCAAAAACAACAATGGGAGAAGCAGCGTGTCCTAGGGTTTCGGTTACTCCACCCACGTCTGCTTGCCTGTTGTGAATATTATTGCTTCCTTTTGCCATCGCCGAACAATGCCCTGACCTCGGAAAGGAACATGTTTCCTCAGGCCTAATTGTCTGTTCCTCAGTGACACATAAATTAGGACAACTATGGTAATTACACAGAGGGAAGGATCAGTTCTGATACCTATGCCAGTTATATTCATGTTCAAATCAAAGTTATCTGTAAAACCCACCTGTGGCCATGAACTAGTTAGTTCTGGATAGAACAATCAGAAATGTTCCTGGAAAGAAAAATCAAAAATTTTTCCTGGAAAGAACTTGAATGTGTTTGCTAAGCCATTGCTATCGCACTGACCCAGATCCTGCCCTGTGACTAAATTCACTTTGGGTAATGTCCATTTTAAATATTACATTAAAATCCTAGCTCTGTGTCAGCTGGCGGGCCTCACCACAGGGGGATCATGGGAAACAGGTGGTTTCACTGGACCACCCCAATGTCAGCCCTTGTAAATCTTTCTTTCCACTGAGAGGAGAGGATCGGGGGTCCAATCCTGGCTGCCAACCTTCAGAGCCTTACATGGGGAAGGAACTGGGGGAACCCCTAGGTTCAGAGTACACATTTTCGCTCAATTTGCCTTTGAGGTACAGCTCTTCCCCTGACTTCAGCTGGACCTGTTGTTCCTGAGTGCAGGTTTTCTCCAAGTCAGCTTTCCTGGAGAGGAGACCTCCTGCCTTCTGCTGGGACAGGGAAAGAGTAGTTGAAAAAGTCACCTGCATAGCTGGGAGGGAAGAGGACTGGGAGTCTAACTGCTCCTGATAAATTTATGCTCAGTCTCTTTTCAGCCTCACCCTACCACAAAAAAATAAAAATAATCTGAGCTACCCACAGCACCTTTGAAGTCACCGAAGCAGCTGTATAAAAGCTTGGACTCTGCTGCTTTTTGATGATGTGTTGCTTGCTCGCTCTGGGGTTAGCCTCTGGCTTCCCGCACTCCCTGTGAACTCTCTCCCAGGAGAGCTCCTTCAGCATCCAGCCAGTGCACTTCAAGGGGGCCATCTTTGCTGGCCCCGGGGGCTACTGCAGCAAAAGTTCAATAAAGGTGCAATGCCCTAACATATTCCCCCAACAGGTGTTAACATGCTGTATGAAATTCCCTTATTACTCTCACCTTTACATTAAAAAAATAAACAAAAATATGTTCTCTGGAAGAGATGGTACATTGAAGCATAACTGCCCAGAAACTAGGCTGTCATTCTTTCGCCTTCCCCTCTGTCGTTAACTGTCTTCCTTCTGCATTCAGTCCCCATAAGTGCAGGAGTCTTTTCTCCATGTAGCCCTCAAACCATCTGCCTTCATCATTCCCCCACCACTGCCTCCTTGCAGGTGACAGAACAGGGACTCCCAAGCTGAACTCCTCTGGTCAAAATCCCACACGTGCCACTTGCCAGCATGTGATCGGTGCAGGTTGATGTTGCTAGGCAGTGCCAGTGACAAACTGGTCCTCTTCTGCTTTCACCCACTCCTGCATCTTCTTCAAAGTTTTGCCGCTACCCCATGGGGGTTCCCTAGCTATTTCGTTATGGCACCCCAAGCAGAAGAATAAGCGACCATATGAGCAAGATTCTTAACCTTTCCCAACAAAACCACACTTCCTTATCTGCAACCTGTAGAATCAATTATATCTGTATTTATTTGTTTTTAATTGCACAGAGTTAGTCCATAGGAAATGTTCGTTTTCAATGAAAATTAGTAGGGAAACCAGTCTATAGTTACTCCTTCTATAATGGTTGACTTTTGTTGACAATCTCAATTTTTTTTAAGGGAAGGAAAGCTATATGTGAATGAAGGAAGCAAGGAGAGATTAAACTGAATTGTTGACCTGAGCACACAGGGCTGTTCTCCTGTGATGCATCTGCACCAGGTCCTGCCACCACTGCTTCATGTGCTGTTGGCATGATTGGCTGTGTGCAGGTGTGCACTGCCTTCACTGTTTCCCACCGAAGCATGTGCAGTGACTCATATGATTCACACGTTTTTGAAGACTTGATTTAAATAGTGCAGTAGACATTTCAAATGCAGTGTCATGAACTTACAGTAAAATATGGAGACTGACAACATTCCTAAGCAGTGATCTTTGTTTTTTTAATTTTTTAATCGTAGGTCTGGAGTTCAAACTCTGCCCCACAACGCCAAGGTTCACTACAACTATGCCAATTTCCTGAAGGACCAAGGTCGGAACAGGGAAGCGATCTACCACTACACAACGGCCCTCAAGTAAGCGCCGTGCACCACGCAGGTGTCGCTGTTGGGCTGTTCGGGCGCTGGTCTGTTTCACTCACCTTTCCTAGTATGGGGGAGGGGCGGGTAGGTTCTTTTTGGTGACAGTGAACATCTCCTTGGATGTGGTGTAGGCCTTGGGTTCTGAGACTTATGGCTCTTTATTCAACTCTGTTACTGGTGTGATAAACTCTACCTTGCTTCTAACTTGATGTTTTCTTGTAAAAGTTTCCACTGCTACACATTACAAAATGAAGTGATGCTCAGGTGAGGGAAAAATATACATAATACATATATATGTGTGTGTATATTTCTCCAATGAACTGCTCCCACGCCAGGCTTCTGACCATCTGAAAAGACTCACATGAAGACATTTGAGTAAACCAAATAAGGCTTTAAATATGACTTTAAGAGAAAACTAAAAATTCAAGTTCTGTGTTCCCACTGGCAGCCTTGATTGCTCTTAGGTACTCTGAAAAACTGCAGCTCTGACTCTCACGGTGGTCTTCTCTAAAAGTCCCAGGTAATAAACATATTTGACCTGTTCCGTCTCCACCGGAACGTGTGGAGACATGATAACAGAGCCTCAGACCCTGTACATGTGGGCAAAGTCAAACATGGTGACTCCTCTCTTTGACTGACTACTACGAGCTCACGGAGGCTGTTTGAAGAGGTTTCCATGCCCCCACAGACTGGCCTACATTGGGTTGAAATTTTCTGGTACTGTTCCACCTTAGGACATACTTAAAATGCTTAAACCAAACAAATCATGTATTTCACTGCAGTGCCAACTAGGATTGGCTCAAAGCTCAGTTTGAAATCATCACTTTTAAAGGAACTGGCCTGATTGTTAAGTCTCCTTTTGAACAGTGTTCTGCTCAAGTGTGTTGTTCATCGGTTAACATCTGTTAGATTTTAGGGCTTGTTACTTAATATTCAGTGTGGCAGAAACTCTCCACTGTCATATCAAGTTCCTTTCCAAAAGTGCTATCAAATACTTTTCTGAAGATTTCAAGAAATGTTAAGTCCTGGAAGAATACTTGTAACAGAGCTTTTTATTGAGGATTATAAGTTTTTGTTAAAAGATCGAAGATAGTTTTTAAGATTTTAAGCAATTATAGTCTTTCACTGGAAGGCAGTTTACCCAAATGTTTACATGCTTATCTCTGGTTGGTGAGATTATGGTTTGACTTTTTTTTCTTGATACTTTCTTTTGTGCTCCAGATGTTCCACAGTGAAAATGTATTTGAGGAAATGTCATTTTTAAAAGGCATATTCGTTCAAGGATACACATAAAGTGTGTTTGGGCTTTAACAATTAATGTTTCATGAGTTTAGTGACATTCTTGAAAGAAAAAAAAGAGTAAGTTGTGTGAAAAATAACTGTTGGAAGAAAATGTGTCAGTATCTTTTTAAATTAGTTTTATTCTAACGGATGATTTTCTCTCATGTTCACACAGGAAAACATGATAGACCCTAAGGCACAGTTTGGGGCAGAGGTGTAAATTAAGTAAAATACTCTGGCAGGTGATTTTACTGAATTGTAATAATTATAGCTGGTTGGGTACTTCAGTGTCTTTCCCATAAAACAATAAAAATAAATATTTGTTTCAGCAACTGTGCTTCTGGAAGAAACATACCCCTTGAGAAATGGGGAAAAACAATGAGAGCTATAAATGTATTGCATAGTAATTAGTGAAATATTTCACTCTCTCAGACCAGGCTCAAAATACTTCTGATTTAAAATAAAATATCATTATTTTTGTGTGGACACCGCTGTGGTGAATTTTCAACAGATGTGGGATTTTTAAAAAATGTAGGTAAATTGTCACCCTGTATTAGAAAGAAAACGAAAATGCCTGGACTGTTTATCATTGATGAACTTATCCTATCTGACTTGAAGTTTGCCCTTATGGCGATATTGCTGTTTCTTTGTGGAAGTTGCTGAGACAGGGATTCCTCCCTCTCCCAACTGCTCCTCCCTATTTCAACTTCAGTGTATCTGATATTCTCCTTATTTGCATACAACAGAAAAGAGAATGATTAAGGAAATGCAGGGTTGAAGGTGATACTATCTGAAATCAGCCCCAACAATTACTCATTCCTGTTGCGATAGCTATAGAGGTCCCACAGGGAATGGCAAAATGAGTCACTAGGGTTAGATCTGTAACAATATCTTTGTGGCCACCTTACAGTTCTAAAAACAGCACTATACTAGATTGATCATTATATAGGACATAGATATTCTGCTTCTTTTAAATGTTATTCTATTCTTTAAACCATGTAGAAGCATCGCTGACTTCTCTTCCCTTTTGATGTACCTCATTTCTTATATCTCTGTAATACAAGGGAAATCTTGCATTTTGGGAATATGCTACAACCAAGACTATAGATTAAGAATAAGACCCACCTCATTAAAGAAAAATGTCAGAACCCTTTCCTTAAGTCCTCAACAAACTTAAGTACTAGCTTCACTTTGCTGTGCAGGGCAGCTCTCATGTCTATATATGGAGCTCTGGGCTCTATGGAGCTTGGGATTCTGTGTGCTGGAAGATCTGCCATGGGCCTCCAAAGCTTTCTGACCACACAGTTGCCCTGGGAAGGGTTCTGCCACTCCACCTCACATTATGTGATGGGAGTAGGGAGTTCAGAGACCACCCACTATCTCAGTCCTTCCTGCAACAGCGCTCCCACGAAATGCCTCATCCCATAAATCCCGAAGGAGACAGAGTGGCCCTGACTTGATAAAGTACAGAAGACACTGGATGTGTGTTTGGCCAATGGTTTGTTGATTGGCATAAGAAGCCAGTTCAAGGTAAAGAGTCATGAAACAAATTATGTGTGCTCTTGAAGGTTTTATCAGACACTAAAATTTCATATGTACGTCCATTCACCAGTCTTCTAATGTCAAACCAAGTCCTTTCCTTTGATTAAGAAAAAAACACATCCATAATTTATTTCTATGATAATCACTTCTGATACTTTAAAGTGAAATAAAAATTTGGGGGCTATTTGAGATTTGTCTGATAATTCTCCTTCAATTCTCTCTTTTACAATGAATGATCTTATTCACATCTAATTCAACAGCAATTTTTTTTAGCAACTTCTGTTTTGAAGTGCTTCTAGACAGTTTGCTTGGAATTCATGGAAATAACTTTTATATATACTTTATCAGTTTTCAAAGTATTTTATTATATTATATAATTGTAATAAAGGCTGCAATTGGAATAATTCTGTTAATAAACACAACAAATTCTTAGCAGCCATGCAACTCAACCCATGGGAGCAAACGGGCCCAGGCTCACAGAGGAAGTTCAAGTTGTGTTTATCCATCAATATGTTTTACAGAAAACAAAGAACAAACATCTGGAAATCTGATGACATAATTAGAAACTGTAGGTAATAGAGTCATGGAATCTATTTTTTCATCTTGTATTTAAATTCCTGACATGACTCAATTACCAGTTGGCTAAAATGGGCTGGTCATCAGGAATCCTGCAAGTGGGAGTGAGAAGAGTTTGCCTGTGTCCTGGTGGCTCAGGAAGATCCTCTCTACTGTCAGCAGCGAAGTGCCCCATGTCCCACTGAACATTCGTTCACCTAGATGCCCTCTTCTTCCCACCCTACCGTAGTAATCCCCTGCCACACCCGATTTGCTGGTGTGGTCCAGGTGCTTGGCTCTCAGCCATATGTAGGATTCCATCTTGATAAAAGGTCTATGATCAGTCACCCAGACAACTATTTTTTTCTCACAAATATGGTTTTGACATGAAATACACAATAAATCATCTAAGCTGTTCCCCTTCCCATAATCCTGTCATGCAGGAGATGCAGTAGCTTGCCCTGGGGGTACTCAAGTGTGCGTAGGAAGCTTTGAGACCCTTACAGCTACCCTTTTCATTCCTAGTATATCTGTTATTGATGTTTTAAACAGAAAGTCTGAAGGAAGAAAGAGAAAACTGAAGGTCCTGACCAGGTTCTTTTTCTTTGGACATTACTGAGAGGGAAGGAATGAGCTTTTAGTGCCCCTGTAGAAAACAAATCCACACTTGCTATTTAATTGGCTGACATGTGGGAAAGAATTGAACAAAACTATTTCTGATGGAGTGTTTTAATGCATAAAATAGAGACTTGTCCTGATAATAGTGCCCATTGATATCATCCTTTGTATTCCCTCCAGTGTGGATAACCAGAACTCTGTAAGGAGGTTCCATTAGACTGCAGTAAGTGTATGTGGAAAAAGGGAAGTAATAAAAGAATGACTATTAAAGAAATGCCATATCATTGGGGTCTGGAGAAATCTAACTATATTTAATTAACCCACTGTTCGTTGATATCCTGACTATCTCAATAATATTCCTCTATTATAATTTCTTCAAAACCTGCTATCTATAAAACTGGTGGAATTTGAACATTTTTTAAAAGTCAGGATTTATGTAAAACGTCCTTCTTTACACAGCCTATTTTGAATGAACATTTGAAATAACTTGCATGACTACAGGTGGCCTTGGATACCAGCTGCCATGTATTTCTGGCAAGAATTAAAATTCCAATACCATTTGTTAGCCGGGTTTAAGAAATCAAGATGGGCTCTTCTGTTGGTGTGGTGGTTTCACTTACAAAAGTCTAAATATGCTTTCCAGTATTCTAGGTAGACACTTGAAGTTGCATTCTCACTACGTGTATGAATGTTGTTAATTCTCACAGTTTTACTCATTAATTTAAGAAATTAAACATTATTTCATTTAGAAAAAAAGATAGAATTTTAGTCACATTATGGACATACTTATGGGCTAAATTTTCAAATGAAAATTCCATAATTTATGTGGCCCTTTCTGTCCTTCTTCCACCTTATGTGACTCTTTCACTATAAAAACTTGCTGTGGTTCCCCAGGAAACACAGGGAAGGCAGAGGCTTGCCTGCAGGAAGTTTATTAAGGAGTGCTCTCTGAATCACCTGGAAAGCAGGGTGTGCGGAGGGGAAGCTGAGGTGCAGGG